TAAAATTTTGAAATCCCGTGGTTTTTTCTCTTTAATCCGATGCCGTGTCTTTGGTTTTTAAAACCTCTCCTTTGGTTCCCGCGGGTTTTCTTTTCCACCCCCCCCCCCCCCCCAATCTTCTCTCGCTAACTGAATTTACCTAACAGGTGTTTGGCATGTTCGAGTACTTCGCCGACTATCGTGTCTCCAAGACGTATAACTGGGTTCTCCAAAGCGTCGGTCTGCAGATGGCCCAAGTCGAGTATGCTACCGGCGTTCAAGATCTGCAAAAATGGTGGTGGGCGTGGGCACCAGACTACTTCCAGACGGTAGAGGACTATTCCCAAGGTTGGGCCGTCGAAGCTATTCGGGCCGTTGCAGGAGCGTACGCCGCGGCTCGTGCCGATGGGCGGAATCTGAAGACGAATGATGCCGTCGCGGCGGTGCTCAGCGAATTCGAGAGCAAGATCCAGAAGATGAGCATGCCGAAGATCACGGCGACAGAGACTACCATCTCCGACTTGGACTCTCTAGACTAGACAAGCTTCATATAGATAAAGTAATCGAACTTGGTTTAGATGAGCAAAAAAGAGCCCAGCTACGTGCTCAAGAATCAAGAACAGTACACTTCGAGATCTAATAGGGAGGAATTCCGTTTCAACGTCTTGAAAGTCTTGATCTTGACTTGGCTCTGAAATGGTAATTTATATTGGGAAATGTGCAGCTGACTTCCGTAGTTCTTCTAAAATGAAAAGTATCTCTACATAGCGAGCTCCATTGCCTGACAGGCTATCAATTGATTTGGAACCATTTGTTCCCCACATCAGTATATAAATCTAAGCCGAATGAATATTTTCGTTGCAAGTGACTTCTTTGCGTCGTTTCACCCAAAGCCCAATGTCGCAAACGAACCGCCTGGCGGCACCTACTTTCACGCCGTGCTTAAGAAACCTGGGTCTTGATCCTCGTAAATCTGCATAAGATCGAGACAATTTTCGAGGGTCATATCGCGTGCTTTGTTGATGTTCTCCCTGAAAGCCTCGTTGCTCACCCGCGATTGCTGCCATTCAGTATACTCGTCCACAGCGACATCTAGCAGGCCGTCGATTATGATTGGTTCAATACAGCCGGGCCCGGTGGCCATAGCATCATTAGAAGGAGGCTGTGTCAATTGTTGAGATGATCCAGCCGGGAGGACATTGATATGAGCGATGGGATCAAAATCTGCCGTCAAAAAGACAGAGGTGGCCAGGCAGGTATTACGATATCTAGGCGGGAGCGGCATTTCTCGTGCAGACAGGTGTCTACCCTCTCGCAATGAAACGTCCTCCCCTTTTTAAAACTAGTCTCTCTATGCCAGTGCCTTATTTGAGGCATTATTGGAGTAGTGAACGTGCGACCCAGGGCTTGCAAGATGGTAGTAGTTTCTGCAAAAGTATTACATGTGTCAGAATCTAGGATGAATACTGTCATTTTTCATCCCTGATACAGTTGGGTCACGTGATTGACCAGGCTGGTTTTTCGTCCGAAAAACCAGTCCCGCAGTTTTCTAGCGAAAAACATCCTTTCATTTTGTTTTGTTTGTTTTGATTACTAAGTTGTCCACCAGATTGTCATTTTTAGAGAGTTAGAGAATTTATTGAGATTTTTCTGCCACATATACACTCGCCTTACCACCGTTTTTCCGTTAACATGTAATGTGTATAATATTCTATCACGTGATCGTAACTTTCAGTACAATTCAAATATTATGGATTTAGGCTAAACCTAAACGGATTTAGTGCGTTTCGGAACAGGTCTGTGCAAGCGGTGAAACTGATTTCGATCCATCCTGTAAAGTAAGGGTGTTGGAACAAATAACCGCTGAAAATCTAGAATCAATGAGACTCAACTAAACTGAATATAGTATATAATTCATTGATGAACCTATAGCATTTAGGTGTCCTCGGTTCCCGCGCTGGCAACGTCTAGTAGACTCGGGCAGCGTTCCCAGATTCTAAAACAAGTGCCCAGAGCGTTCAAAAGAATGCTACAAATGTGGATAGGCAGTTAGGTGAAGAACAGGCTACCTACGAGGAATATCCACTACGCTAATAGACGCGCCTTTGGTTTTCTTCAATACAACTAATCCAATAGCGATCACTCCTTTATTAAATGGATTCACAAATGCACAATCGGCTTCCCCTTCTCCCCCAGGAGCTCGACGTGGTCGTTTTACGGCCAGCAGACACCGCACAAGTTCCCCAACTGCGCCGTCAGTTTCGCCGCGACTTTACTGTTTACTAATTAACAATAGGCTTTTAAGCCCGCGTGAGGTTGAGTTTGTACCTGACAAGCAGGACATTAAGTCCGTACCTGACGAGCAACACGTTAAGCCTATGCCCGACCAGCAGAAGGTCAAGCCCACGCCCAACCAATATAGCCCGCGTATCCTATCCTTCAGGGTTATGGATAGTGTTTAGTCTTCTCTCCTTCTTTTCATAAGACAGTTGTTTTTTGTTCCCCAACCTTTTTTAGTCCTTGGCCTCAAAGCCTGACTTCCATTGATCATCATGTTGGCATGTCCCACGTGGACAGTGAGAGGCCGGGTGAACCATGGGCCATCTGAGCTCTCTCGTGCCTTCTCCATGAATCATGCCTTCCATAACTTCAACGTGTCGGTCTGATGCAAGTCTACATCCCACTATATGAGTGCGCCATCATGACTGACCACACAACAGATCGCGACCGAATGCCACTCCCTCCAATTTCACAGTCCTCCTCGCCGGTCATCATCTCCTACCATGGAAGCTTCGTCATCAAAGTACAGCTCTGCATTATCTGGCTTGGTCTCAGCAGCAACTGAGGCAGAGACGTTACGAATTGGATCCCAATACTCGCGACTTGCTTGAAGAACTACGACAGCTGTACTTCAGCGACGTCGGCTTTCCTCCGCCCAAGTCTCTCTACGTGATGTATATCGACCGCAGGCCAGAACAAGTCAGAAGCACCAGCTAGAAGACCAGACCAATGATGAGTCAGGACATCATGACAAGAGAACTAAATGTCAGGATACGGGTTTTGCTGGAACACCCGCGAAAGCAAACCAGACCCATGATGGGTCGGGACCTACGGCAGTGCCGCGGACATACCGAGTGGGACTTAGGCCCCGAATCGACCACAAATGACTTCGTCAAGCTGTATGCGCCAGTTTCCATGTCCCGACTGGCCTGCTGCGTGTCCTCCTACCTCTTGAGATTATACCTTGATGGTATATTTTGCTAACCAAACTCTGTTGTCATTACGGAGTACCCCATGAAGATTATTGTTATCCTGGGGTCGAATGATCATGTTTATTCAAAAGTATGAAATACATCGGATAATGCAAACTGAGCAGAGTATGCGTATTTATTCTTCTACAGTTTCATCCAAAGTGGTCTATTAATAAATGAAATTCTGCTGGATTCTTTTAGATGTAGTGCGGGATATCACAATTAACGGGTCATTGACGTCGCCGAGGGCTGCTTCGATAGCTTGGATGGTGTTCTTAGGTTTACAACTGTCGGCCTTGTTGATCATCTGTGTGATTCCGATGCTCATTGATGAAGGCTCAATCACCCAATTCGCCTGGTTCAGCGATAACTCTCCACATGAAGGGATACGTGTTGAATTGCTTGGATATAATGAAATTGACTGAAGAAATATGGAAATTACGACAACAAAGGTTCCTGTTCCTCGTCATTGGTTCGCGGAGATGGTCCAAGTCGAACGTGCCAAACGGCGGTGACAGCAACAACGAAAAAGAGAGAGGCTTGGAAGAACGGCAGTCCCATCCAAGCAGGTCCAAGATGCATGCCTAACCGGAAGAGGTTGGCAAATAGTGGACCGGAAAGGAGGGTTCCTGCGCCCTGTGCAATGGCAATTGCCGAATACAACGTGCCGGCATGGTCTGGTTGTACGAGTGAAGTAGCCAGACTGCGTGTGGTGACCATGAATGATGATCCGATTGACAAGATGACCTGACCACCTACCAAGATAGCGGGTGTAGGAGCTATAGAGATAATAGCAAATCCAATGATTGAAAGCACGCCGCTGCCTTTGCTCAGGAAATGGTCGCTACGATTTCCACGGAGATTCAGGTGTTTGGCGGCTAAAAAGGCCAGGATTGGCATTATGACCAAATAGGTCACGAGAGAAAATATCCCGCGCAATGAGATCAAGAGACTGGCCTATAGCATGGTTAGTTTTTGGTTCGACCGGAGGGACAGGCACGTACACGACTAATACTCCAGTCAAACTTCTTTGACACATATTGCAGAAGCAGATTGGTGCACTGTCGACTCATCACTGTGACGAACATCACAAAGATCATTAGACAGACATTGGAATCGGCCCAAATGAAGCGTGTCGACTGTGCGAACTCGCGCACTTGTTGGGTGAGCTCCTGCAACGCCGTCTTCCTCGGAGGCTGGGGCTGCTCGCTTTCGCTGTCCTGTTCTAGACCTTCTCTGCTGATTTGCTTTCCTTTTGCGTTTCTAAGAGTCTCGGGCAGGAAGAAGGGTGGGATACTTCCCACGGTGATGATGCATAGTGATAGGATAAAGGGAAACATTGGACCGAAGGTCATCAGATAAGCACTAAGGGGAGTGGCCAGAATCTCTGCGATTTGGATACAAGATTGTAAACGGAAGAGCGCAGTAGCTCTGTATATTTGTTAGCTTTATCACAATGAATCGGGCCATAACAGTACCTCTCATCGTCGGAGAAGACATCAGCCACTATGACCATGGCAATAGCCGTGAGGACTTGGTCGCCGCCGCCGATGATTTTAAACACAGCTGATAACCAGACCATCCGGAGGGGAATGACACTTGACCACAGACCTAAGATGAAGTGATCAGTAAATTATCGAGTAACAAGTTCAAACAACTTACAAACTATCCTAACCCAGATCTCTCCGAGGAGAATGCCTAGTATGCCAAGATACAAGAGAGGCTTCCGCCCCCAGCGATCTGACAGCACGCCATATGGCAGCGAGAGTATAAGGCCTGTATTTCAAGCATCAGCATCCCCAAGTCCAGTATATCGTGGAGGATACCTACCAGGCATCACATCAAATGTACTTTGGTACCCGATCACGAGCGCCAATTCTCCCTGTACCGCCTCTGATTTACACGGATTGGACACTGGCGAACTCAGAGTCTCATTCCCCGCCCTATGAAGAGTGTCCTGGTAGTTTCGACAGATAATATCTTCATACACTGCAATCTGCGGCGCGGTGGACATGAAGAATCCGAAATCGGCGCATATCAAGAATATAGCGCACACGATGGATACCAGTAGTTTCTTTGGATGCTGGGCTGGTTTGATCGCGTGTGCGCCCAATAGTGGCTCTGTCTCGCCTGTCATTGTGTCGATTGTGAGATTGTCTTAGAAAAAAGGTCAAGAAAGGGCGCCCTAGATATCTTGGAATGTCGAGAAGGAAGGTTGTTTTTATCTTTGTGACGCCATCCGCTCTAAATTGCTGCCTCTGCTTGTGCGTTGTCCGAGTCCAATGACAGACGGCAGTTGACACCAGGGTACTCTAACCCCCTCTTTTTTTCTTTGTCTTCGATATTTGTTTCCTTTCACATTTATCTCGACATCAGCTTGGTATTGTTCTCCATTCAAGTCATATCTCATTCTTCCAGGGACTTCTTATCTTGAAACTCGGAGCTCGGAGTTCGGGGCTCGATCTGACATGTCTCAAAAGTACGTTGTGACATCGCACGTTTAAATCCAAAGGCCGATGATGAGTTGGCATCAAAGGACACAACGTGTCACAGCCCCTGAATTCATATAAGCGATAACATTCGCTCTACGGGTTCAGGGCCCTGCTTCCGGGAAGAGCAACGTGGCCTTGGGTAGTGCGATCGGTCTTTCGCTCTCGATGTCGACGCAGTTCGACAGGCATCTTCCCAACACCCAACCCCACCTTCATGTTGGTTTTTCACATCGACCTAGCCCCAAAGTATGAGCCGGTCGGCCCTTCAACCTTGTAACACGCTGATCTTCAATGTCTGCGGCAAACTAACACCCCGGGTCCATTATAAAGGAAGATATCTGACCGTACACGAGGCTTCGATTATATGCAGTGATATCTCAGGACGAAAATGCTGACCGCATTTTCTTGACTTGACCACGCAAAACTGCAAGTTCCCTTCCACTGGTCTCGCCTTTGTCTTCTGATGCGCCCGAAGCTGCACCTTGAGATTTCGAATCAGACCAACACCGCATGATTGTGGAGATGTTGAAAGTCCCGGAACCGGGGGATTTTCTCGGGGGCTTGAGCGAAGTTTCTCTCTCTTTGCTTTTTCCCTTCTTTCTTTTTTGTCTGCAGCTTTCCGTTGCACGACACAAGCGGGAGTCGGGTGGCGCCCACGTCGCGAGATGCGACACGTTCGGTTTTGGGCTTGCATCTGTCGGAGATGAGATTCTTGTCTGTCCTGGGAACTTGTCGAGATCATTGGTTCTTGGGTTCTGCTTCGCTATCTGTTCAGATATTTGTAATACCTGTTCGTCCTAGTTATCTTTTGGTATCACGGCTCGAATTTGGGCAATGCACCTATTCAAATGGTTGGGCTTGGACTAAGTGGGCAGCTACTTGCTTGCAGCATGTAGACAGGTCGGCATTTGGCCATTCCATGTCCTCGCGTGGTCTAAGTAGCCGAGGCTTTGGTTTTTGGACTGATTCTCGCTGTAAGTCGCAATATGGTAATAGATCTGTCTTGCATAAGAGTCACCTAGCAAAGGATCAGAGTATTGAACATACAAAAAGAATCAAAAGGAATCAAGTCATATGTACGATTATGGGAACTCTCTTCTTTTAACCTGAAGCCCGAAAATATGTCGACTGTAGAACAAGACCTGCCCGAGTGCTATACTGATCCGACGTTATTACTCCGTTCTTCACCTTCACGCGTTCCTTTCTCAAAAATGCAGGGTAGACACTGTCACATCTTGTGCAGATCGTTGCGCCTTTCCTCTGGAGGCCACAGGCGCCTCACTGATTTTTCGTCTTTTCTAAGGCAAGTCACATCTGTCTTCGTCTAGAGTCCAACCGAGAGCTCTCATCGGATGATCAGCACATAAAAGTCACACGGCCAATATGGAATATGAGTATGTTTCAAGAAACATGCAAGAAATTTGTCACTCGACATAGCTTACTTGGTTTCTTCTAGGCTTGATAGTTACTTTACTCAATATGCAAGCCACGTATATTACTCTTTAACCCGTTGACGTGTTCATATGACTTGATTTTTCATGACTACTAAACAGATGACCAGGGATGATCACAAATATCACGGCTGGATGCCCACAGTGGCACCTGATAAAATTCCCAGTCTTAGGTTCATATATGAACGCAGACTTGTCGGTTGTGATAGTGAAAATCTGCCCGGAGCGTATGATGGATTTCTCATGGTGGAGGTATATGCCGTTCCTCGGTCCAAAATCGAGCATCTGCTTCTCGGAGTAGCCTAATCATCCGGATTGTTTCGTATTCTCTGGCTGATTCAGGCATCAGGTCGTTATCGGAAGGCTTTTTCTCGGAATCCCTAAGAGTAGGCAATAAAAAGCAAGGTCCATGGGGTATTCGTTGGTTTGGTCGCCACAAGATGATGAGCCCATGACGCATCTACCCAGTAGATATGGCCTTTTCCCCTATCTCCTCCTGATTCGGATTGATCATAGGCTTTTTCACTCGCTCGGTGTTCATGTCGCTGGCCTGGCAACTTCGCCAGCCACAATTGCCTGTTTCCATTGGTCTCTGTCCCTTTATTGCCAATAATGTTACGAACCGCTCTCTGCCACGCGCATTCCTTCTTCCTCGCTTTTTGAATTATACGGGCCATTCGTAACCCGTTGACCTTAT